AAAAAAAATTGTTTAACAATCCGTAACGTTTCGGCTTTAAATAAGTTACAAAGGATTGATAAGCCATAAAGAAACTAACAAATCATTCAAACTCCTTCAGGTGAGCGTACCTGCCGTTAAAATCATCATTTGTAATTTCAGCTTTAGATTTGAGCCGAACCAATTTAGCCAAGAAGTGTATACATAATGCTGCTCAATATTATTAGACAGACACACCAAACGTAGATATATGTGTATTTATTAATATATATATATATATATATATATATATATATATATATGTGTGTGTGTGTGTGTGTGTGTGAAGATATGTAGAAAAATAGGAAAGAACACGTTAGGTAAATAATCCGAAGTTCTTTAGTATTTTTGTTTTTATTTTTAAAAAACAGAAGCTCCATACAGAAGTAGAGCTTAAATTATTTTTTAAAAACAATTATAATATATATATATATATATATATATATATATATATATATGTGTGTGTGTGTGTGTGTGTGTGTGTGTGTGTGTGTGTGTGTGTGTGTGTGTGTGTGTGTGTGTGTGTCGATCACGAATTCTGTAACTCATTAAAGTTGTAGATGTAACACATGTACTGCAACTGCACTAGAAGCTTGTTTGAATTGAGAGTTTTCCTTCTCCTAGGCTGGTTGTCATCCAAGGCTATAGAACCCAGTCTTTTCTACTACTCAACCATAGCTGGGAGAGAAGAAACAGATTCATACCATTCCGTTCATCTTCGTTTCAGTGTATTTCAATTGCACATCGACGCATGTAGGGAGTAAACTGGTTTTGTTTATATGATAAAACTATATATATATATATATATATATATATATATATATATATATATATATATATTTTCTAGAGAGCGTCCTGTGAAAAGCAAGGTTTGCTTACCTGGTAACTACCGGCAAATTACTCCACTTGTCAAAATATACAGTCCGTGGAATGATGCCGCCGTTGCTGGAAACATTCTTGGAATTTCTTCCCGCAACAACTCCCAGTAGTTACGTGTTGCTTGATGCTAAGGCAGTTTCCAAATCGTTGTCTTTTCAAGGAATTTTTACATTTTGGAAATAGCCAAAAAATCACGGGGGCTAAGTTTTCTGAATAAACTGTACTTACGATTTTATTACTTGCTTTCTTAGTGAGGAACATCTGAACTCATAAAGAATTTATTTAATCCCCAAATTCTCAGTGTGATTTGCCGCACTCTTTTAATATTCATACGCCGTTCTTGTTTTCAGCCGCAAACTCCTTTTAAGGTCTGAAAGTTTGACCTCTGCGCACTCTTCTTTGTTGTTTTTAACTCTCTTCTCCTTACGTCATAAACACTTCATAGCGTGTTTACCATAATTCATATTTAATATGTCTAACATTTCAATATTTCTGTCTTGAAGTCGGAACGCTACGTTCACTTGTCCGAATTTTCTTTTGTGTGTTGACGCCAGTTCTTAGTTTGCGAACTTTTTGCCTTATTACTGTTAATTTGTCTTGCATATATTGTTTGCTTGCTCTATATTCTTTTTATCCTGTTCCTTAAGTTATTTTAGCAAATGTTCACAAAAATTGATGTTGATCCACTGCTCCACAGTACTTTTACTCATTTTTAACCAACAGTACAAAAAAGAAACGCGTACAACTTCTTCTACTTTTTGACAACGAAAGCGTCATTTTGTCTTTGTCTCAATGAAGTGAATATTGCACCATTGGCATGAATCCTTACCTGACTCATTACCCTAAAGACACGCTGCGGTCACCCGGATAATTAAATAGCCACACGTTGAGGTTAAATCGAAATAGAAATTTGGCGGACAAAAGAAACACAGAGAGAAAAGGGTTTGGTTGGATAAATATCTTGAGGCAATCAGCTAATGGCCGGAACGTATTTATAAATGTTGTTAAAATTGCGATGTTCTGAAATTATTTACAAAGTGATCGGAAGAGATAGAGCAACCGAATAAATATGTTAAGAATGTTTGATTTATTTTTCATGATTTATTAATCTCTGTGTTTTCTACAACTACATTCACGGTAACTGCTCCGACGAACTATTTTTACAGGTTCCTATATTGTATGAATTTAAGCGTGCTACTAGGTTGGCATCTCGGTCCAACTCTTTCACTGTCGAAACGATTAAATGTAGCCATCTCTTCTACTCCAATATTCCTTCCTCTGACTTTCTTACCTCATAGCTATAATCTTCAATTATGCAAATGCAATATCAATCGACATCTTCAGATGCCTTGATCTAATTCCCCGTCGTTCTTTTCATCCTTTCCTCTGTCACGCCTCTTTACGCTTGCTCCCACACTCTGTAATCACTTGCGTGATAGTGGCACTCTCGCCTTGGTTGAAATGCTTACAAAATATTATTTGATATAGGCGGCTCGCTCCATCAGGAGCCCACTTGCTATCAGGTAATCTAACACCCTGACCAATGCGCTACTGAATAAATTTACAATATCGTGTTTTTCTTTCGAGCTCATATTTTCCTTACGACACGCGGTAAACTTTATTCATCTGAAATTAAACATTATTTGCAATATAATGAAAAACACGCGGATTGCGGAATAGAATTTCACGCTATCAAATAAGTTCTTGAGTAACTGATAATGCGCAGACAATTTTGTGAAGTTCTTATACCTTTTAAAACAGTTCTCTGTGTTTGCTTCTTTATTCCATCTCACAGACGTGCCGTCACTTTCCTCTGTCTTTTCTGCAAATATTTTCACAGTAACTGCTCCGACGAGCTACTAGGTAAGCATCTCAGTCCCATCGTTTCATTGCACCAACCACGCATCCAAACTTACCACACAAAGAATTCCTAAGCGGTAACCTGTCTACACCCTTATGCAAATTAATTGAAACAACTGCTTTAGTTTCCTTTCTTTCACCATACGCTCAGTTTTAGACCCACTGGAGTGACAGGGTGTAATCGATTTCTATTTTTTCCACAGATTAGGTCATTTGCAGTGTTGTGCAGTAATATGAGTCTATTTTCAGGGTGTATGATGAAATTTGTTTGGCCTTGAAAAATATTGCGTCACCCGTGATTGCATCAGATTTTCATCACGCCCAGACATTATTGTCTCGAATGTCGATTAGTTGTCTGCGATGGACGTTATTCCAAGGGAGCATACAAAAATTTTAACGCTCCACGAAGACAATGGCAAGCCTTACCAGTGAGTAAATCAAAGTACTATCGACTGGCTAGGAAACTTTCCTGATTTAAATCCTATCGAGAATCTGTGCTAAATCTACAAGGAAAGACTTTGTGGAAAGGAGAAAAGTACTAATTTGAGTCACGTTTCATTGGAAGATACGAAAAAAAGTAAATAACGAAATTATTCGTTTTGTTTCAATTAATTAATTAATTTCATAAGGGTGTAGGTATTCAGCAGGCCCGACGTTGCTTAACTTAAGCTGACATCCAATAGAAAAACATTTTTGTATTACTTATTCGCATATGAAACTAATGCATATTTGTTTAACATTTACATCGTCATGGGTAACACGATAAACTACACCTGCCTCCTAGGTAAGAGGATAAACTACATCCAACAGCAAGTCTGTGATCAGGAGGTTTTGAGGAGAATGGAACTACATCTTAATTGCTGGTGTTCCCAAGTCTACCCCTGACCCGGGGTGGTAGCACCTATTCGGGTCCCAGCTATGTGCAAATACTTAACCCAGAAACTGGCGTAAAAACACTATGAAAGTGTAAAAGTAGGTTTTAATACGAGAAATTATTTTTTTTTAAAAATATCCTCAGCAATAAATTTTTGAAGAAAAAAACTATTACCAGCAATATATTTTTGACAAAAAACATTACCGACAATACGTTTTTGAGAAAAAATATTACCAGCAATACATTTTTGAGGAAAAAATATTACCATCAATACTTTTTTGAAAAAAAGAGAAAATATTATTACCACCAATACATTTTTGAAAAGGAATAAATATTACCAGCAATACATTTTGGAAGAATAAATATTGCCAGAAATAGATTTTTTAAAGAAAAAATATTACTGGGAAAAATTGTCGACATTAAATAACCCCATTGAGGTTCATATTCAGTAAAACAAATCAAACCAAACAAACTTTGAGTTTCGAATGTACGGGTTTGGACGATTATTAAAAAAAAAAAAAAACATACCAGGAATATCCTTATTCTAACTATCCCTTTTTTAAAGTTTTCATGGAAATTCCTCTCGCACCTTTAATTTAGGATTTTCACATTCTAGGTCAAAGTGTTTCATTACAGAAATTTTTTAAATTATTAAAAGTTTCCAGCAACACCTTTTATTCCAACCACATGATTTATTTGAAATTCACATGTATCCATTAGATTAGTATAATAATTAATATTGTCTAAGTTTAGATTATCTTTATAGAAAACCAAGGATTATCGAGGATATTACAATACTAATGGAGTCTGTCTTAAGCGATTGCACAACGTTGTTCTGTTAAAGTTTGGTAAGTCTGTCAGCCCGAGAAATCTGATGCTGGAAAAGTGCTGCGTTTCTTTTTACCGCTGCCGAAAGTATCCAATTCCTCCTACAATGCTTTATCTTTACAAGAATCTATATCAGACCAAAAATGGTTTAGTGCTGCTTTTTCACGTCTAGAAATTACACAATTCCCACTTCCACAACATTGACAGATTTACAATCAAACAGACAAGGGGTCAATTCGATAAGGCTGCCATATTTTTTGACGCGATCACGAAAAGCTGACCGAATTAGAGAAAGTGCATTCCTGGCTTAGTACATCTAAGCAACGGTGTACGCACGTTAAGCGAATGTACTATTAAAAGATATAAGTACAAATGTATTTACAGGTGGCTCAAGAAACTACTTTACACGCTTATGAAACGGGGTGATGAACTATGTGCACTGCATCGACTTTTTTCAGTCTGTTTATGGCGCCATTACATATGATGAATGAATGTGTCTCATACTGGTCATTACTCTCGTATTTCGTTGGTTACCTCGGTACTAAAAAGCAAATCGGATGAAGACGTAGCAAGCAGAAAAGAAGAAAGAAAGCGTTTCTTCGAAAATGTGTATGCATATGAAGTGCATATATGAAGTGAATGTGAATATGAGTAGGAAGTGTACATGAATATGAGTGGGAAGTGTATGTGAATATGAATGGGAAGTGTATGTGAATATGAATGGGAAGTGCATGTGAATATGAGTGGGAAGTGTATGTGAATATGAATGGGAAGTGTATGTGAATATGAATGGGAAGTGAAATATGGGGAAGTGTACATGAATATGAATGGGAAGTGTATGTGAATATGAATGGGAAGTGTATGTGAATATGAGTAGGAAGTGTACATGAATATGAGTGGGAAGTGTATGTGAATATGAATGGGAAGTGTATGTGAATATGAATGGGAAGTGTATGTGAATATGAGTGGGAAGTGTATGTGAATATGAATGGGAAGTGTATGTGAATATGAGTGGGAAGCACATATGAATATGTTTAGAAAGTGTATATGAAGAAGACCAAGAAGTGTATATTAATATGAGTAGAAAGTGTATATGAATATGAAGTAGGAAGTATATATGAATATGACTAGGAAGTGCATGTGGATATGAATGGGAAGTGTATGTGAATATGAGTAAAACGTGTAGGTAGATATGAGTGGAAAGCCCATATGAATATGATTAGAAAGTGTATATGAATATGAGTAAGAAGTGTATATGAATATGAGTAGGAAGCGTGTATGAATACGAGTGGGAAGTGTATGTGAATATGAGTGGGAAGCGCATAGGAATATGATTAGAAAGTGTATATAAATATGACCAGGAACTGTATATGAATATGAGTAGGAAATGTATATGTATATGGGTAGGAAGTGTATGTGAATATGAGTAGGAAGTGTATGTGAATATGAGTAGGAAGTGTATGTGAATATGAGTATGATGTGTATACAAACATGAAGCTTGTGTTACAAGTTCTCTTTTTGCTTCTTTTGTTATTTTTGTTTCATTTTGGGATTTCTTTTTAAGATCTAAAGACTAATTAGACAGATTAAAACCAAATTTTCCCCGGAAATCTTTGTATACACTTAATAAAATCCTCCATGTGCTTCTACAAGAGGAGGCTACTGAATGCCATACGCAGATCATTTAAGCAACGAGAAGGAAATGGAAATAAAAAGAATGCAAATGCTTAGAATCAGAAAGAGACAATTGAAATGCCTAAAGAACATAACGAGGTCAGAAGATTAGGAACATTTGACACTCACAGGACTTTGTGAAGGCAAGAGAGACATGCAGAATTAGAACGAAACCTAAATAATCTTAAAGAAAAAAACGGCCATAGAGTAACAAGAAACAAGTTGTTCAGAAATAAAAGGATAGAAAGTTGGAATAGCCATGATCGCACATATTCTATCCTGAAGATAGATAGAAGTTAAATGAAAATGGCGAAAGAACTATCGTGCAAAGAATTTAGCTGCAGCCTTTTTAAAATTAGATATTTTTTTTAATAATGTTAATTATTAAGGCACGCGAATTAAGGCACAAGGCAAAGGCACACGAAGCCCTCAAGGTAGAGGGTTACTAAATCAAGTTGTATGATCGTTAGAGGAGAAAGTAATAAGAGAACTTTTTGAGAATATGTAGAAAAGATAACGGTTAACCCTAGACTTGAAGAGGTTACGATCTCGCCAGTCAGTGGCGCAAAGATGTGCAGCGTTCCTTAAGTACAGATGCGATCATGGCTCTCCACAATTTCATATCCCTTGTGACCCTTGGCTGTTTTTCTCTTTTGCTAGGGCTCCCGATTAAAGTTCTGCCAACCATTCACAAAAGCTTGTCAGATAAGTGGCTCGCTGCCTTTCTATATCTCGGTTGCCCTCAATATGTCACGTAATGGAATTCTCAATATCCTTCTGTAGAACCCTATTTCTGTTACCTCTAGTTTTCTCCTCATCCATGGGGAGATTGTCCAACATTCACTGCCATATAAGGGGATGGAAATCAACTTCTCATTCTCTGTTAAAACGCTTCTCAGATATTTAGACTTCTGCAATTGTTTTATGTTTGTATCTGCACTTCGTACCTCGCATCTTAAGAATTTTCTTCAGCTGATGGCAATCCTTTATGTTTTCTTCCAGTTGAAGGTTAGGCCTTTTTTCTCAATTACTTCTATTGCCCTGTCTAGTAATGAAATTCTTCAATTCACTTGACCATTATTTCAAAAGAGTTCCAAAGAGGTCCAAAATATCACAAACAGAACAATAAAAAAAATAATAATGGGAAATCCGTTCGTAAAAAGAAATGGTACATATCATTATCTCTCAGCATGTTCCACCTCCAAATATCAAATCATGAACATTTGTTTTAATTTTATTTCTTGTTGGGCAGAGGGTTTCACCGATCTGTCCTAAACGGTGATAGTTCAGGCAATATCTTTAAAATTCGGGTTCAATCAACGTCTAATAACAGACATCCATTACCGACAATATACATCAAAAATATATCATTTTCGATATTCGGAATATATATATATATATATATATATATATATATATATATATATATATATATATATATATTGTATTATATATATATATATATATATAATATATATATATATATATATATATATATATATATATATATATATATATATATATATAATTATATATATATATATATATATATATTCTGTTATATATATATATATATATATATATATATATATATATATATATATATATATATATATATATATATATATATATATAATTGTGTTATATATATATATATATATATATATATATATATATATATATATATATATATATATATATATATATATATATATATATATATATATATATTACAGATAACGGATGCCCTCATTACATTAACTAAATTCTGACTTTAAGGATATCGTCTGAACTATCATTCCCTACAACAGGGTGGTCATATGTGCTCGGCCTGACAAGGAAATTTGCAATTCGATTTCTAACAATATATATATATATATATATATATATATATATATTTTAAATTATTCCTTTTGTTTTGCAGTTTTGTTGTTTTTTGTTTTGTTTTTCTTTCGAACATTTTTTAATATACAAAGATATACTCAAGTTTTTTTTTATGTTTATAAATAGTATTTTTTGAATTTTAACGAATGCATAACATGCGAAACTGAATTTATCTATTGTTTTTCTTACATTCTTTTAATTAACTGTAACAACCTCATATTACTTAGAAGAAGACATATAATATTTGTATTTTATGTATTCTGGAGGTTAGCATCAGCCATGTTGATGAAAGGTAAAAAGGATTCTCTCAGACGATTAAGATTTTCTTCTATTTTTTTTTTTACCTTGTTCTGTGTTAAATTTTCCTAAATATTTCAGAAAGAGGTATGTAATATTTTGAAACAGATAAGAACGTATGGCAAGCCGGACGTAGTTCAAGAGCTGCCATTAAACTAATTATGTTATTTTTTTAACTTCACAAGACACACCTAATTCAAAGGTTTCCGATAATGATAAACGGATTTAATGTAATTCGCATTGATGTTTATGAAATTTAAACTCACATAACTTTTGTCAGAAATTATATGAAAACAAATTTATGTTAAATTTATTTAAATATCAGCATATTCGGAAAGTAATTGCGTTTTGTCAGAAATTATATAAAAACAATTTTATGTTGAATTTATTTAAATATTATTCATCAAAAATTTAATCATCCTCGTTTTCAACGACTGCCGCCTGAGGGGAAGGCAAATTTTTTATTCCATAGTTAAAGAAATCTGCGTTTTTCTTGGAAAAATTTTGAAAAACTGTTTCCAACTTCTTTGTTTCTGAAAGTTCTACCACAACTGTTCGAGAGTAATGTTAAAATCTTTTGATTCTCCAAGATCAAATTGCACTCAACACTTGACCTTATAATTGACCCCAGATGTGTTTCCTGTAGAAAAGAAAAGGAAAATGCCAGTCAGTCTTTATTTTTATTTATTTCCTTTTTGTATTCCTGAAATTAAAATTATGGATCTGAGTATTATGGATTTTTGGGGGGTAAAGCTCAGTTTTTATTTCTTCTACAACTTATATTCAACTCTGTATCTACTATGAAACTTGTAAATAAAAACAAGTACAGATAACAGAAATCGATTTGAGAATGTATTTATATTATAAACAGGACCGTGCCTCTAAAATGATAAAAAAGCCCATATTTTCGATTCTGATAACTATTTTTAAAAGGTACACAGATTTCCAGTCTGTTATATTCGAAAACGTAAATATACATATGATTTACACGACAATCAAAAAGGTAGACAAAGTAAACTATAGCCTAAAATGTAGATACGGTTCCGATTTACAAGAGTCAGAAAGGTAGACAAAGGTCCGGTTTATATACTTGAGTCAAAAAGACAAACAACGGTCCGGTTTACATAAGAGTCGGAAAGGTAGACAAAAGTCGGGTTTATATCCTTGTGCCGGAAAAGTACACAGAGGTAAGGTTTACACTAGAGTCAGAAAGATAGACAAAGGCCCAATTTATAGTGGAGTCAGAAATGTTTCTTTTAAAATTACATAAATATGAGAACTTGTAATGACATTTCTCTCGGAATTTGAGTTTAATTGTTCGGACAACGTCTCATTCCGTCAGGGACCTAAATCTGCTATCTACAGCGACGCTAATGGTCTGAATTGGTTACACAGATGCATGTCTCATTGTTATTCTATAAATGTACGATTCCTATGGAAATGACGATTGTGTTTCTTTTAGTACCTTTGATTTCGTTACATATCAGATCATGCAAAGAGAATATATTTCCATATCTTTATAGGGATAGCTAAAGCGATTATTTCATCTTATGAAGTGGCAGTCAGTCAGTCAGCTTCAAGGTGTCAAAACAAGCAGTAGATCGTTTAACCCGAACCCCTTGGCCTGGAATGGAGCTAAATTTGCCTCCTCCATCCACGTGGTGGAGATTACAAACATACAGCGCCGTTTTTCTATGGAAATATATCTTCATCAAATATAGAATCTTCGATTCGCAGTTCTTATGTTGGGAAAAAAACAAAGCTCTAGAATACATCCGGCCTGCTCGAAGCTGGAATCCTAAATATGGCTTTTTCAAAAAAACACGTAAAAATCTATATTTGAGCTAATATCTTATATTTTAGCTCCCTTTCACTCTGCTTGTTGTGTAGATATGTGTTATATTTTCTCTGCATAGGACACGTGCAAATAATTTTGCGTATGAATTCGTGATATAAAACTCCCAGTAAACAAAGCATGTTTATCATTCATTTTCCTTCCAGGCATTCCGTCCCATCCGTGAAATATCATGAATATAATAATGCCCATAATGGGTGAAATTCAAATGGGAGAATAAAACACTTTTATTCTATAGCTCACTCATTATCTGGGTCAAAGCGACGTAACAATATATTATTTACCTCCATTATTTTTCTGAATTTCTGAGATGATGAGTCATCATTATTTAAAATCAGGTTATTCTCCCTATCTTTGTCATTATCACACCGCTGTAGTGGCTTCCGGCCTTCTTTAAGGTTATTTCGAACTGAATCCATTATTTAAGCTACAGACGTAGTTGTTTTTTTTTGTTTTTTTTTGTTTGTTTGTTTTCTTGTTCCGTTATCTGTCCATATCTCGTTTTGATTTGATTTTGATTTTCATTTTTTATTCTACTCCTTTGCTCGCCATATTAGCAGAAAATCCAAGTGCGTGGCTCAGGGATTGAACTCACAATTAACATGTCTGCATATTCACAAACCAACTCATTAATGCATGAGGCTATTTTCCCGTGAGACAATTGTCAGCGGAAGTTGGTTCATAGTGTCTCTTCAGAATCTATCACGCATATTTATAAGATCAAAAATTTATGGTATTTTCAAATTTCGATTCTAATCTTTGTTATATTCACTGTAACCTTGGGAATATACGAGAAAAGTTTACCAAATATGTACCATATATACTTGCATATAATGGTACTTTTGAAGACGTAATTTTGAAGCTAATTTTAAGAGGGTCGCATCATACACGAAGTATAAAATTAGTGTAAATATTGCTGGCTCTGGCAACGCCGTTTACCAAATTATATATCTATTTACTGTAGTCAAAAAGTACAGCTGTATATAAAATAAACATGCTTTTGATAAAACTGATGTTTTACTTAACTGTATCCAATAATAATGCATGTAATATTCACAAATTTATATCATATAAAATACAAACATAGCGAATATGCATTTTTTCCATTGTTGACGTTTATAAGATTTAGCTGTTTCACGTTCGGTTGTTTTTGGCTGTACGCGTTTACACAATGAGTAGAGTGGTACTAACGATACATTTATCATTTTCTTTTAACTTATTTAACTAGAAGATGGGATAAAGAGATAGTGGAAAAGAGGTTAGTCTATTGTAATTTGCCCTCTCAAAAAAGAAATCATAATATACGAGGTATGATAAAATCATTTTTTATAAGTGAAAATTTCAGTGTCGGACGATAGGCGAGACAAACAAAGTATCAAGTTATCTGATGAGTAATATCCGAATTTAAGGCCTGCAAAACTTAAATCGAACCCATCCAGTCATATGTCTTCCATTTTTTATCAATAATGAGCCACGACTTTAGAATGGCATTTTTTTTAATCTTTTGTTTTGGAGACCAAGAATATCAAGATAATTTCTGTGGGAATTTCTGGAATGAGTTGCCATTATTGGCTATTGTTATCATCTTTGTTAATATCACAATGTTTCGACCGATGTACCATCTGGCACCTTCATCAGGTGTTTGCGGATCCAATGACCTTCAAGGAATTTCGAACTGACCTTTTTATTTAATCTACGCTGACCATGTCTAGGGATACTTCGTCTTTATATATACTATCGTTCAATTATTTCCCGGCCTTCACTGCCCATCCATTGTATTGAACTCACGAAATGTTAACAGGCCTGCTTTAGACGAAAGAGAAAACGGTAGATATAAAGCTTGTTCGCACGTGATTTAAAATGTAGATTTATTTAAACTAGAAAAAAGTTAGACCTCGGTCTGATTTGTACTAGGCTCAAGAAAGCTATCCACAAGTTGTTTTGTACTAGAATCAACAAGGACCTCTCGAAATATAGTCAACAAGGTAAAGTGGTCTCTGTGGGATGTATGCAACCGACATATTTAGAATATGTCGGCTGCATACATCCCACATGTCAAGGCTCAGTAACAGGATATCGCTTTCCGCTAATTATTAAAGCTCTTTATCAATAAAAGGATTTCGTTAACAAGAGACCCCCAGCTGCAAATAACAAAAAACCCTTCCATCAAAAATGTTAAGTGTTAAAACAAAAAAATTATTGAACTAAATTTTAGGTTACATAAATATGAGAACTTGTAATGACATTTCTCTCGGAATTTGAGTTTAATTGTTCGGACAACGTCTCATTCCGTCAGGGACCTAAATCTGCTATCTGCAGCGACGCTAATGGTCTGAATTGGTTACACAGATGCATGTCTCATTGTTATTCTATAAATGTACGATTCCTATGGAAATGACGATTGTGTTTCTTTTAGTACCTTTGATTTCGTTACAGACATCAGATCATGCAAAGAGAATATATTTCCATATCTTTATAGGGATAGCTAAAGCGATTATTTCATCTTATGAAGTGGCAGTCAGTCAGTCAGCTTCAAGGTGTCAAAAAAGCAGTAGATCGTTTAACCCGAACCCCTTGGCCTGGAATGGAGCTAAATTTGCCTCCTCCATCCACGTGGTGGAGATTACAAACATACAGCGCCGTTTTTCTGGAAATATATCTTCATCAAATATAGAATCTTCGATTCGCAGTTCTTATGTTGGGGAAAAAAAAAAGCTCTAGAATACATCCGGCCTGCTCGAAGCTGGAATCCTAAATATGGCTTTTTCAAAAAACACGTAAAAATCTATATTTGAGCTAATATCTTATATTTTAGCTCCCTTTCCTCTGCTTGTTGTGTAAATATGTGTTATATTTTCTCTGCATAGGACACGTGCAAATAATTTTGCGTATGAATTCGTGATATAAACTCCCAGTAAACAAAGCATGTTTATCATTCATTTTCCTTCCAGGCATTCCGTCCCATCCGTGAAATATCATGAATATAATAATGCCCATAATGGGGTGAAATTCAAATGGGAGAATAAAACACTTTTATTCTATAGCTCACTCATTATCTGGGTCAAAGCGACGTAACAATATATTATTTACCTCCATTATTTTCTGAATTTCTGAGATGATGAGTCATCATTATTTAAAATCAGGTTATTCTCCCTATCTTTGTCATTATCACACCGCTGTAGTGGCTTCCGGCCTTCTTTAAGGTTATTTCGAACTGAATCCATTATTTAAGCTACAGACGTAGTTGTTTTTTTTTGTTTTTTTTTTGTTTGTTTGTTTTCTTGTTCCGTTATCTGTCCATATCTCGTTTTGATTTGATTTTGATTTTTCATTTTTTATTCTACTCCTTTGCTCGCCATATTAGCAGAAAATCCAAGTGCGTGGCTCAGGGATTGAACTCACAATTAACATGTCTGCATATTCACAAACCAACTCATTAATGCATGAGGCTATTTTCCCGTGAGACAATTGTCAGCGGAAGTTGGTTCATAGTGTCTCTTCAGAATCTATCACGCATATTTATAAGATCAAAATTTATGGTATTTTC